CAAAACAATTAAAGTCGGTTTATAGTTTTTGTTTTAGTGGGTCATGATTACATCCATAATGACGTCTTATTATATGTTTTTAATTTGTTCGTTTTTATAGGAGTTCAAACATTATATTGTTTAACCAAACAAAGCTATTACATTCTTGGGGGATGAGGAATTAAGCCGTTTCTTTTTTTTTTGCTATTTTTTCTTTTTGTATTTTTTTTCATGGAATTAAGCCGTTTTGAAAGTAAATGAAATAGAAAAAAGTCAAAACTGACACAGGCAGAGTGGCAGCATCAGAGCCTTTTTGTTCTGAGTGTGTGATTAATCCCACATCCACTTCCCCTCTATTATCATCTTCCACCGCTGGCCCCATGCCTGGCCCTCCACCAGCGGAGCCTTCCTACACAAACACCGCCTGAACGCTGCGGAGCGCTGCCCACAGCCGCCAGCACACGCTACTGCTAACATGACATCACTGCTATTTCAGGAACATTACAGTACAAGGAGATGCAGACAGTCTGATTCTGCTGGTTTCACTGCTGGCCTACTGCTGTTGGAGTCCAAATGTACCACACACACACACACACACATACACACACACACACACACACACACACACACACACACACACACACACACACACACACACACACACACACACACACCTCTGTTTGCCAGATAGATTATAGGTATTTAGTAAGTAATCCTTTTACTGCTCCAGCAGCAGCCGCAGCCACCAGGTCGAGTCTGTTTTCGTGTATTTCTATCAGTCTGGCACTTTTCAACACCTCGGTGGAGACAGGAGGCGTTTTTGTTACCGCACAGCAATAAATTATTTCAAAGTTTACAAGAGCCGCTGGACTGTAGTTCGCTCCCCAAATACACAGCTCTGTTTTTCTGCACATATGAGTGCATTGGCGTTTGCAGGACCATGATTGTGTTTTCTCAGACTCAGTGTGTGTTTCAGATTGATTCGAGGTGAAAGCACATGTGTCTTTAACATTTATTTCAAAGAGGTATTCCCTTGGAGACGTCATTACAATCAAGACAGACATATTTGAGGTGTGTGTGGGAATGTGTATTTTAGTGTGAGGGGGGTCCTAGCACTGCTCTGCATGAGACCCTGCACTTCTACCCATGACATTTCCTGATTCAAACCCTTCTTAAAGCATCCTCCTAAAGCTCATATGCTGAAAGTGTTAGTCATTCATAAACATCACTGACACATACTTTAAGGTTCCCATATATGTGATTTCATGGATGCATACATACATTTAGGCCTTAATGTCAACAGCAAACTGGGAAACATCAACAGTTCTGCAGTGGAAGAGATAATAAAAGCCAGAAAACAATCCTGCAGAACAGATGCAACAAACCATCTGTCTGCACTCGTAGAAACCTTCTACATCCAAATATATCATAAAAACTAGAAAAACATTTCAACGAGTTTATAAGGGAATCATAAAATCTTGTTTTCCCAAAGAAACATCACTGTGATAGCATCTCATGCTCTTGCCAGGGCTGTTTAAACAATTTTATTGAAAGAAATGAAATATTTCTTGTATAAAATGCATCATAGAAATGTATCAAAATATTTGTACTTGATATAAAAAAGTGCAGCAGTCATCACTTCTGACTATAAGGCCATAAGACTTTAGTGGTTTTGGCCATCATTGTGGACTTTTTCTATTGTGTAATACACCAAGCATAGAGAATGATGTCATATTTACACGTTTTTTAGGTTATAGATGATTAAAGTTGCTATTTTTTCAGTGTCTACCTCGAGAGTCCCGTGGAAACCCCTCGTCTTCATTTTAAAATAGCACACAAACAAAGGAGCCCTTCCAACAGTGGAGAAAGAAACCTATTAGAAATGTTACTTATCGCCTCTATTGCTAATTGCATTCTTGATTTCCTCTTTGGAGGCTCACTATCAGAGTAAATGGGTTAGGACAGATATTTCTTAGAGTGAAACAACCTTTTGTTCTAAGTGAGATTAGACAAATGTGTCCGAACACATCGCAGCGCTGCCTGAATTGATCCAGCCAGCTCACTTTATAGCAGCTTACCTTCAGCAGTGTGTGGCTCTAATGGTTTCTCCAGCAGCATGAAATGGCTGCAGCTCTGATATCCCTGATCCTCCCGAAGGCCTTCAACATATCGAGGCAGGGCCGTTAAACCTTCTGATGTGAGCTTTTCTACGTAGAAAAGCATGAAGGGGAGCAAGAAACAGAGGAGGAGAGAGTACCAAGCTAATTTTACGATTTATATTACTTTTCTGCTATTTTGAGGGAATGGAATTAACTGTAAGTATCTATTATCTATCACCTTATAAAACCTGTTAGCACTATTTGTCTTTTCCCTCATCCGATAAAGCACTGTCAGCTTTCTTATGGAGCCGTGTTTCTGGCCATGTGACCTGAAGTCCAATATTCTCTCTCCCTCTTTACAAAAAGCTGGTTCAACTTTCTATGACGCACATTTCAACATGTGTATTATTATCAGACTTAGAGTGCCATATATTCTGCTAATCACATGGTATGGTACAAGTATAAGCTGACACATAGCAGGTTCCTCACATGCGTGGCATTATTTGTTTTAAGTGTAGTAAAAAGAATATAAATATATTTATGCACACATAAGAGTTATTAGTTACTTAAGCATTATGAATACTTGTGCTCGTTACTCTAATTATATTTTTGCTTTAAGTGGATTACGATGCATTTAAATGATGTTAATGTCACATGTCCTATAACATGGTATAGAAACTTTTACCTTCATGGCCTCTCTGACATTTTGAATTGAGCAATTACAAAACTATGCATATCAGAGGGATTTATGTTGAAAAGAGCATCTTGAAACATCGTGGTAGGGCCAAAACAATCAAACTAAAATAAACTAAAACACCATCTGATCTATTCTATCCCCTGTGTCCATCACTCTTTCATACTACACATGAATACACACACCCTTTTAATCCATAGAAGTTTCATTTTACACCTACAGTATATTGGGTTGACAGGAGGTGACGAGCACAGATGGTTACTGTAATAGCTGTTTGCATTAATTATAGGTACACACACACACACACACACACACACACACACACACACACACACACACACACACACACACACACACACACACACACACACACAGAGACAGACAGAGGGTGCCACTTTAAATGAGCTATTAATGTGTCATGAACATCAGATTAGTCAGTGTGAAACTCACTAAGAGCCTCCGTCTCATTAGATATGAAAATGAACGACACTGCTTTTTTTTTTTACAGTGATCCATTTTCAGTCTCTATTTTCCATGCAATCACTCCCTGCTCCTCTCATATTACCATCAGCTCGGTGGCCCTAAGCGACCATAACCCTTTCTCCTGCGGCTCATTGAGTCTGTGATGATTTCTCAGCTGGGCTCTTATGATGGAGGTAACGGCTGCTGTCCCTCTCCAGGATTCATAGCTCCTGTTAATGCACTCTTGTTATATCCAATTATACAATGAGGGGAATGTGCTCTTCTTCCATAAGCACCTCATCCTGCATTCAATACATTAGTGGAAGTGAAAGTGATTTTAAATGTGGTGGCAGAATTTATTCCTGTTTTAAGCTAATCTCCGACATTTGGAGGCCACAAATCCATAATGCGGAGAGTCCTAATTTGAATTATGAACACAATCTTTGAATAACAAACCATGAATTAAAGCGTAATCATTTTTGAAATTATGGTTGACGTACTCACTCTATAAATATGGATATACTTAAATAATTTAAAAGTAATTACGGTGTCAATAAAACAATGATTGGGGACCTAAAGTCTTCTAACAACTCGTAAATGATGATGTTGTTACTTTTTGAATAACAGGATATTTATAAAATAATTACAGGGTACTGTGATGTATTGGAAATCATTAAAAAGAAGCCAGGGAACATTTGTCTTTATGAGTTAAAAAATCTGGGATGATGTACTAAATGTATAGCTTTAAACACTTAGTATATACATACAGTTGTTATATGTGAAAAATAGTTTCATCTTTATTAATCTATTACAAAAACTGTTACACCTTTATTTGTATAACTTCTTGTGTTGTTCTATTTATATGTTATCCTGTAATAAGCCCTACAATAACAAAAATACTTACCCTGTAATTTATTGCTCTGTGATCCAAAGCATTACAGCAGTCATAGACTATTTACTGCATTGACAAAACTTGGATAATTGGTTTTACGACACACATTTAATTGGATATGGATATCCAGAAGTCTGTGTGAACTCACTCCCTCAGTCAAACTTCTTCTAGTTTACGAAATAATGCTGTGACCTTTAACAAGACGAACAATCATTCTTGTTTAATAAATGATGCCGAAAGTCCCAGTAAAACTTCTGTGCTTCTGTGGAAAATGGAGGCAGGCTGACACCTTTGGGGCTTGTAGTAATGATCATGACGGAGTACCCACACTCATACACATACATATACATACACAGCCTTATGTTGAGGTGTTGGAGATGGAGGATTAGTCACTCAGGTTGACAGTCCCGGGGGCAGGTACTGGAGGTGCGGGTGGATTTACAAGGGGATATGTGGCCAGCAGCCTGATGCAGCGGGGGCCGAGATGGAAAGAGTGTTACATATAGCCTCCGGAAGCTTCCCATGGCGAGGACACTGGTATTTGTTCCACTGCTGCCAGGGTTTATTTTAATGAGATTGGCCCTTTTCTGGTAAACGAACGAGACAATGTAGGTGGTGCCATTAACACCCTCGTCTGGCATGACTGGCATGCTGCAGTCAGACACTCTGAGAATGAGGGAGAGGCAGAGGAAGAGATCGGATTACCTGCACTGAATAAGAAGCCTGTGTCGTAGAGATAAATACTGAATAATGCTTGGCTGCACTCTATCAATAACCCTGTCTATTTTCTGAACATCTCATTTATCATGCTTTTCTGTTCCCTCAGTCATTAGGGCCTGTTTCTAACTGCCTATTTATTGTGCCTCTCCACCAGGCCTATCCTCTCAGCTCTCTAGCAAAGAAGCAGCCGACGGTGCTGGTGATCTGTGGTCCGGATCAAAATGGCTCCATTGGCCTGGTGTGTGCCCGACACCTGCGCATGTATGTAAGTAAACTTCTGCACAAAGGGTACACAGTGCACAAAAACAACTTTTCAAAAGTGTAAGTCTCTATAATCTTCAACAACACCACAAAAGAACCATTGTCTGTAGCGTGCTGAGTCTTTTTAGATGATATCACATTCGAAGAAACAAACGAACTAACAAGGGATCTCCTAAACGGCTTTGCAGCGCTTTGCTGAATTTCATTTCAGCTCCTGTAAACGGCTCTGAGCATTTATCCCATTAAACTCCCCGCAAGGGCACTCAGACAGTCATGATATCATGCTATTATTACTCTCGTTAAAGTCGTCTGACTCTTACAGCCACGATATGATGTCATGACCAAGTTGTCTAACCCCTCAGGCCACACGCTGACTGACATTTCAAGACTGGTTGTTTTTAGAGGCAGGACTCGCATCCTTTCTAACACTTTACAGAAATAGAGTCTGTTTTTCACAGTTCATTTCAGTACACAGACCCCTGCCTCTGTCTATGACTTCATTGGAAGGGAAACATTGGATATGTGTTTTCGAGATCTTTGGTCCAGAGAGGAATGCATCTATACACTTTACCATATGTGTCTGACATGCTAGATTTACTGTGCATTGATAGCTCTGATTAAAACCATGTTAGATGCATTCTGATTGCTGTCCATGGAGACTCTCTCTCTTCCCTCGCCACCCACTCTCTGTCTGTTTACTTCTCAAAGCCAAGGACAGGAGGTCAGAGGTCAGCTCAGATGGAAATATATTACCCTGCATAACTTTTAAACAACAGGCATCGATTATGTCTTTTAAATATCTTTGTGTGCTATTTTTTGGTGCTCGGTTTCTTATGTTGTCACCTTCTGTTTTTGTCATATCCTCTGTTTTTCATCACCGATTGTGAAACATTTTATTGCATCCTGAAATGTGCTGTATAAACACAGTTTTATTATTATTATTTTCAAGTGACTGCATTTTGCAATAGGCCGACTGGGACCACATGTCTGACTTTGCTCTAACTTGAGAAACTTGAGTAGTTACTATGAACTGTGAATTGCTGTGCTTTCATGGTGCAATGTGATCCCTGTCACCAGAGGCCTGTACTACGAAGCCGGATTTTCCTAACCTGGATATGTTTGAGTTAGCCGGTTGGCCCAATCCAAAACATACGCGCTCTCGCTAAACTGTACTACGACGCTGGTTATCAAGTGGATCGCTTAAGCCAGCCGTGTCCTATCTAGTTAGGTGCGCGTTCACATGAAAGGGGTGGTATTTGGAGCATTCGACCAATCTCAAACATGGACAAGCGTACTGACAGCGCAGCGTCATACTTCCTGAATGAAAAGTGAACTTTAATATTAGTCAAATATGAAGAAGTTAAACTTTAAACATCCATGACTTAAACACTTTATCCAGGATAAAAGCCACATAGCTGCACCTGCAAGGTGAATACAGCTGGTAAAAGAAAAAGCGTTTGAATGCGTACATTAACAGGTTTATTATATCACTGCCCCGTATAAGACACGAGTGGATCTGACTTTAATTACATTTGACTCGAGTATTTCGTCAACTTAATGTGTTGCTTAAAATAATACTTCTGCATACAGTATGTGACACTGTGAGTGTTGCACGGCCAGATACGGCTCAAGAAGCTGACTCAGATAAGGAAATATATGATACATTATGATGTGATATGATATGAATGATATTTCCTCTATCCTGTAATATGACTTGATAGCTTTAAACTCCCCACACGGAGCTCTGATTGGTCAGCAGGCGGTGCTTTCACTGAGTTGATCTCTTAGCCTGCCACCTAACCTCCTCCCGAGGAGGTTAGCCGCTCAGCATAAGTTACCATGGAGATCTAGCCTGCTAAAAAGAGAACCAGTGTCGTAGGACCGGAAAGCCCGAGTTTTCCCTGAGGTCAGCCGGCTAAGCGAAAATCCGGCTTCGTAGTACAGGCCTCAGGAGGACATGCTTGCATACACGTGAGACACACACACACACACACACACACACACACACACACACACACACACACACACACACACACACACACACACACACACACACACACACACACACACACACACACACACACACACACACACACACACACACACACACACACACACACACACACACACACACACACGGCCTGATGCAGAGCTGTGAATGTGATCAGACAGAGCATCAAAATAACTGATCGGCTGCAGACAAACAGGTCGACTTGCTTCTCACGTCACTGTGGGACATCCATGTTCACAAAAGCAGGTTGTGTCTGATCTGTCCGGCTTCTTGATTATTTCCACTAACAGGTATAAAAAAAAGGCTCAATGTTGCATACCAGAAGATATAGATATCCATGATCAAAGATAACCGCGGGATGAAAATAATAAACACGTCCTATGTACATTAGTTCCACTGTATTGCTCATATGAAGTACAAGTGGACATGATCTAATGTTCAGCTGACTACATTGTGCTGTATATAAATCACTGAACAGAAAAATCACATGTTTGATGTGAGACACATTGCAATTGGCATTACAGTAAAGTAATGAAATATTCTATAATGTGTGAAGCAAAACACAATTTAAATCACATATTGTGGCGTAATTAATCAACATAATTCACCATTAATTGTGGTTTAACACAAGCGTTTTACCTCATGTATCTCATGTAAGCGTAAAAAGTTGCAACAATAAATATTTTCACCTGTCTTTAGAGTGTTGTTGCATGCAGAAATGTTTCACCAGAGAAAGACTTGATTGTGCTGCAGACCTCATCCCTCGAAAACAAAATACTACGAGACACCATGATCCCTAGGGGAGAGGAAGTGTTACCTTTAGCGATGTTAGCATTAACTGGAGAAAGCCCTCGTCTGTACACTTTGCTTGTTTCTGTCCCACGGCTCATTTCTGCTCATGCTCAGTGACACTAACACTCATTTTGAGCCTTTCCTTAGTTTCACACACACATGGTGTAACTGCTGATGAGGTCAAGGGCATGCCTGGGCTGCTGGCTTACCCTGAGGGACACACACACACACACACACACACACACACACACACACACACACACACACACACACACACACACACACACACACACACACACACACACACACACACACACACACACACACACACACACACACACACACACACACACACACACATGCGATTGTATTTGGCCTGGTTCTGCGCTCTGTGGAGATCATGATGGAGATGACGTCAGGTGAAGGGTTTCTGTGGCTGTCTGATTGGTTTAGTGTCCCTGAGGAAGCAGCAGTCTGTCTGACCTGACAGATCATTTCCTTTGAAAAGGCAGCCTCAGCTCAGCCACATCTGAAAAACTCTTTCTGTTAACATTATTTATGTTCATGTGATGTTTTGCAGTAAAAATCTAAATACTGAACCTCATGGTGGTGCTAGATCAGAGGACAGAGTATCACCAAAGACATTACGATTCATCCACTGGGGAACATGAATGTTTTCCAAGATTTAATGACAAACTTTCTAATAGTTGTTGGGATATAACTGTCTGGACCAAAGTGTCAGACCAACCATTGAGCGACATTGCCAACCCTAGAGCCATGCTGCCAGGAAATCAATAGCAGTGTGTCTTTCCAAAAACAATGACCCATCTCTGCTAACGACTCTCTACCGGAAAATAGTGCCAACGAAACCAGAGTTCGACAGTGTTCTGGATTATCCAGGTCAATGGCACCTTGCTCAGAATATTTCAAATTTGTCTGGGCAAAATACACCATATACCATTTGGTGTAATTGGAAATAACTGGCTCTTTAAATGTCTTCATGTAAATATTTATCAAGTAATACGTCTTCTGAGAGTGGCTCATGGTTTTTTTAAGTTGATCTTTGAGTCAGTGTGTAGGTCACGGGTCACAGGTGCTTCCTGCTGAGCATCACAGATCTTCTGACTGCGGTTGTCTGGATTTCTACTCCTCTCATCTTCCAGTTTTTTTTACGGGAAGTATTCATTCAGGAAGCACACTGTAGAAAACTACAACTTCTGATCACTCGTCAACAGTATTTTCACTTGTCTTGAACTGAACACACTTGTTAAATCAGGTCAGTGTTGATTGAAACGGCAGGCTTTGGTTTCAATATTATGTAAACATTTCTGTTTCTCTCCTCCTTTAACCCCTCTCTCCTTCTCTCTGTTGTTTTCTCTGTTGCCTCATCTGACACAGGAATATGAGCCGACCATCTACCACCCTAAACGCTCCTATCAAAGTCTACACCAGGACTTCACAGTTCAGTGTGAGAAGATGGACATCCCTTCCCTCTCCTATCTCCCCACAGAGGTCAGCAGGCCTTTTAAAGAATAACACATTCACCAAGAGTTTCAGCAACATTATTTTTAAACTATGCACAGAGGAATACTTTTTAACAGTAAGAATGTCTCGAACTGTCGAACAGTTTTAAGGCGAGTTGATAAGTGGTTAGGGCTTTCCTCACGGTTTGATTCCCAGCTGGCCGGACCATTGGTGGCATGTCATTCCCATGCTCCCTTTCCCCACATGTCCTGTCCCTCAACACTATAACTATAAATAAAGGCATGTCCAAATGAATCCTCAAAAAAAGAGTAGTAGTTCAACATCGCTGATTTTCAGGAAGACAGACTAAAAGTATCAATCTTCTCATCTAACGCTCAATAGAGCACATGAGCATAAAACCTACAAAAGTCAAACTTCTGCTTTGAATAGTGGCATGGCATTAGATTATTGAAAACAAGGTAAGAAGCAGCTTTCTAGGTTGTGACCGTTTTGAATAAAAAATAAGTTTCTACTTGTGAATCCTTGTTACTGCTTCTTTCAGAATATTTGATTTGTTTCCTGTTCTATTATTAATATTACGTTTTTGTTCAGGTGCAGCTCATAAACGATGCCTACAACCTAGTGATTGATGCCATGCTGGGCCCAGAGACAGACTGCGCCAACATTAAGGAGCCCTACCCCGGTATTCTGGTCACCCTGAAGCAAATCAAGGTCCCTATTGCTAGTGTGGATGTGCCCTCAGGTAAGTGTTCAAACATTTATTGTTGTCACAATACACAAATGTTGACTGTGGTTAGTTTTGGTATGTTATCACGATACTAAAAGGATAGCTGAAAATTAAACGATATTCTATTAACCATGATACCCAAAGAGTGTTAAGAATGTATTAACAATTACATCTTAACTATTTAATTGGTTTATTGTTAAATATATATGATGTATCATAGACCTGCCCTGCGAAATGTCAATGTATTCAAATGACGTATTTTCTACGTTTACAGTGGGATTATGTTCTGTCTTAATCTGTAGTGCCAGCATAGTTTAAAAGTCACAAGCAGCTAGAAGCTCTAAGCTATTGAACCGTTTTAAAGCCTACATTTCTCAAATTTGTACTTTAGTACCAAATGTTGAGAAATATTGAACCGTTTTTAACTAAAAAAGGTTGAAAGAGTAGCTACATTTCGGTTAATCGTGCAACACTTACTCAAACTAGATATTAGGCAGAAGTCTCAGAAACACGACTTGATAAATGAGTCTACAGGCAGCTCCCCAGGAGCCTTGGCTTCCAAGCAGGAGTTTCCATGTCTGGAGGCACACGTGGAGGATAAATCTAACACTACAGCCGGCCTAGTGTGAGCTCATCATACCCCAAATACACTACCTGCTGAGTGTGAGAACAGCAGGCAGAAAATTATTACAATCCTTGTCTCCTTAAATTCCTCTCCACCGCTGTGTTGTCTTCCTCAGGTTGGGACGCAGAGGAACCGAGTCAAGATGGGATTAACCCAGAAGTTCTCATCTCACTCACAGCGCCAAAGAAGTGCGCCATGAGTTTCTCCGGGAAACATTTTTTGGCCGGACGCTTCTTGCCCTATGACATCCAGAAAAAATACGACCTTAACCTCCCAGACTACCCTGGCACAGACTGTCTCATAGAATTGTAACACATGGGAAAAATAAGAGCCAGTGTCCACTCCTCATTTTCAAAAATGTAAGGTTGATCTATTCTCTTGTTTTGTACTTCATGGATTGTTAATGTGATTTAATGTTAACAGTTGGGTAGATCACGCTACACCTTAGCTAAATGTTGAGCTGCAGTAGAAGGATCATTTTTAGAAGCTGTGGTTTGAGTCAAGTCCTTGCAGGGAATGGCATGAGGAGTATTTGTGTCAGTCTACTTGTGAAAGCTGTAGCATTACACTGTTTTTCTGATTAATTTGCTAAATATGTTCACTTCTTTTGTTCACAGTCAGCAAAGAAATATGAATTTTCTATGATGCCAGCCACTGGGACGTTTTTTTCTTCAACACTTTTCTAACGTTCTTCTCATGTTGAACTTTTTACTGAACTGTGCTAACGAGATAAGATGTTGTGCAGATTGGCCATTTTGAACTTTTTGTTTATGTGTTTCTGGTTTGTTTGGTCAGCCTGCACTTCTGAGTTACTTTTGTCTCCGTTACTTCATCAGCTGTAAAAGGCCCAGACCGTTCTTGTTGTCCAATAAAAACAAAAGAAACCCCTTCAAGGATTCAATTTCTTGTGTTTGGTTTTCCTTCACATAAAACTGCACTGATCAGTGTATTTCATATTAACAATGACTCACATGAATATAACAATGACTGCATGTATTGTGAAAGCGGGTAGCTCATGGACCGACAAAGAATCAGAGACTAACTTTGAGCAATTTTGAGTGATTGATTTGGTTTTTGGTGCCAGTAACTCTGCTCTTATCGACCATGTGTGCAGCCCCCACATGCAGTTTCTTTCTTAGCTGATCAACTGTACTCTACTAGACAACAAAGATAGCAACTAGCTGGTGGACAGGGGGTAGCATTTAGTAGCTAATGCCAAATTGGTGGAGAACAAAACAGAGCCAAATGGAGTTGGACTTACATTTATGAAGTACAAAAAAAACAGGACTCTAAATAAATGTTTCTCTATTTCTGCTGGATGTGTAAAATAGGCAACTATTTACTGACATGTTCACAAACACTTTTATTAGGTGATGATTCTGTTTTCAGCTTGTTCCACTGCCCCCCTTAGGCCAAAGACCCAAATTAGGGTAGATTTAGACAAACTAAGAGAGGCTTTTAATTGTCTATGAAAGAGTCTCATTGTAACACTGATGCATGACCTATTAAGTAAAAGAGACCATTAGCAAGAACATTGGCTATTTAGTTAGATAGTTCTAGGAATAGTATAACCATAAATGAGCAGAGCAGACTGTCAGAACCACCTGCAATGAAAAGATAGCCACCAAAGGGACTCTGGTAATTATAAACATTCATGCTTTTGTCCACAGGGGGCGCCAAATTCAACATAAAATGAAAACTCTCGAAGTAAGCAACAAAGATACGCCATTCCTCTTAAATTCCCATTAGCTGATCGCAGGTCTTTTATCTAGGTAAGGTTATGATAAATAATATTATTTTACTGATGTTTTAGTATAATCCTCCAGGGGATTAAAAGTCGTGGTAGTGGTATTATTCTTGGGTTTCTCGCACAAGGACACTTCAGCCGAGAAGCTTACAAAATCTTATGAACATCAAAAACAATTAGTGTTGTGCTTCTTTAGGGAGCGCATGCTGTAACTGCTGTTTATTGGTTTCCAACTGGATTTGATTTGGTAATGAAAGCCATAAGCAGGTGTGATCAGGCTATAATCAGCTGTGGACGAAGGCCTCTTGTATTTGAGCTCATGGGCCGTGGGCTTCAATGAGGATGACTCAGCCGGACTGCTGGGCTGTTTATGGATGAGGTAATGTGTATTCAAACAAATGTAAGAGGCTTCTTCTGAATACTAATGCCCAGTGTATGTGCACATGTGTGAGTGGGTGTAGAAAGTCAGTAAAAAGGAATGTCGATCTGATGGTGCTCTGTGGTATTAAATCTGTCAAAACGAAACTGACGAGAGTTTCAGAAATATGTCTGAGTGTTCACCGGACCTGTCTTTCATGCCTGTCCAATCAGGAAACAACGACTTGTCACCACTCTGTCGTCCGTGTTTTTCATGAGAGCCGTTGAGTAATGAGCTTTGGTGTCGTCGGTGGCCCGTAGAATTGAACTATCATAACCGACAGCAGCACTTGTTGCAATATCCAGTCAGCGATAAAGAGTCTAACAAGGAGAAGAAATGCAGTCAAACTATTTAAAGGAGTGAGGAAGTAAGTTTGATTTAGTGCCAGGCGTTATACAACACAGAAAAGGTCAAATTTGAACAATGTATAGTAGAGGGTCTTTTCCAAATGGGCTCTAATGGGTCTTAGTTAAACACTGCATGTTTTTTATTTGAAAAATATTTTGTTAAACTAAAGCTGACATGTTGACGTAGAGAACTATTTGAAAAACTACAGTATTACAATAAAAACAATTTTGAAAGAAATATAAAAAACAATCTTTAATACTTTATTAATGTTATTTTTTATAATTAAATTGGTAACATTTTAGGGTTTGAACCATAGGTTTGAACACTAATATCCTGAACTTATTTCTATCTTTATCTAATCTTAATTAAGATGGAGACATTATTGTGACTCCTTTAAATATCTACACAACATCTTTCTTTAGAGGTGCCTTTATTTAAACAAAACATCTTTCGGATGTTGTTGCTATACTTTTGTTGAAAAGCTGAATGTATATAACACATTTAATTAACATTTTTTGGTATAAGCCCCAACAGTCTCCATAATGTAAAGGAGCCTGAGTGCATTGCACCTTTGAGCCCCTCCTGTGTCTGCGCTCTGGGGAGTATTTCCTGAATGGCATGCCATACAGTATGACCACACTTCCACTCCTTGGCAGAGCATCGCAGCGCAATCAGCGACTGTTAAAGAGTTACAAAACTGAACCAGAAGTCGAACCAGAGGCAGAGCAGCATCTGGTACTGTCCTGTGTCTGATAGAGACCGATTAAAAGAGTGAGATGGAGAAAGAGAACAGGGGGGGGCAGTGAAGAACATGACATTTTATGAAAGACTATTAGAAAAACGTTGCCTTATGTAACACAGAATCAACTATGAAGTTGCCTTGAATAGCTTTCCTTAATGATTGGAACTTAATCATATAAATTATGATTCAAACCAATATCCTTTATACCCTGATGAAGACACAGTTGTCATTTGTATATTAATACAGGATTTTGGACTTAAAATCAGTGCATTATGTTTTTCAGACTGCCAACCAATAAGAAAAATGAAATAAAAAGTAAGCTTGACAGTCAAATATCTTTATTTGACTTGTTTCCTATATTTGTTATGTTCAAAAACTATTCAGGAAATTAATTAACACACATCAAAAACTCTGTATTTGCACAGATGCACTTACACACCTGCTCTGTGGATGAACACACTTACCCAGGAGCAGAAGAGTATTATAAATAAAAAACACATGACAACATGAAAAAGACGTCAGAATTGATGTGCTCGTGCTTAGACAAATGGAAAACACCTTTTTATTGTAGGTAACAGCATTCCCCAACACACAAACACATTCTCTATATGAGTGTGTGTCTCTCTCTCTACCCCAACCATGCCCTCATCTTATTTGGAAGATGATATGGGGGACCCAGATGTTACGTCTCACTGGCCAATGGTGAGCAGAGAGGGGCTGGATTGGTGTGCACTCCCGATGCCCCTTCTTTTTAAAAAGCCTGAGCTCCTGTCTCCAACTCAGCAACTCCCCTCACATGAGCAAGGAGCAGCAGCTCTGCTCCATCACTCACACCTGAAGCGGCTACATCAGCTTTAACTGAAGAATCAACACTTATTGTTATTACATTAATGTCAAGTCTGTAGAGGATCAGAGAAAAATCAACTGTAACTGAAGGTGTGGTACCATGTTGGAATTAATTAAGGTGGCACTCCTGCTGTCTGTCCTGGCTTCAGCTGCTCTGGGCCAAGGTAAGTGAAGATTACAAATTCAACTGTTATTATTGCTTTTTTCAAAAAATGGACGCCAGAATTGCAGAAACAGCAAAAATACTGTAAATGTCAAATTATCAGGGATTTCATAAAAGAAAAAAGCCCTTTTATAGATGATTTTAGTTTTGAGTTAAGCTATTTTTCATCTCATCAAAAGAGGGCCAGCGCCGGTCTGAATGCTCACACATGTGCACAACAACAGTAGAGTTGACTTAATTGACGGTATTTCCCTGAGGATGTCAGAGCGGGAGAACTCTGGTGGTGAGCTCATGTGATAAGGGTGTGTGTGTTTGGCTGTGTGTTATTTTGTAGACCACCTCTGTAGTTCCTAATCTCTTGTGTTGTGTGTAACTAGCACATTTCACCGCCCGGCTAATCAACAACACATGGTGATAGAAGAGGAGGTTAAGTGGAGGAGGTCCCTGTGGTTTAGTTTTATCTCGTAAAAAGTTCTGTTATTGGCAGTGAAAGTGCTACTGGTATTTGTCTTCAAAATGACCGACTGCGGCACAGTAGCTGCTTCTATCACCAGCAGAAACAGACTTTATGATCTCACATTAAAGTCAAACTAACTCTTACTATCGTCTCAGTTTATTTTGTTTGACTGTGGTTACCCGTCAGCTAAATACAGACCAATTATGCTCTACCCCTTCCAGATAAAGTAAGTTAGTTTCCCCCCCAAATTACCCTCTTATCACCCTATGAAAGCTGGCCACTCTTCCTGAATGACACCAGCAGCAGCACTGTTCCAAAGCTGTCTCTCTCTGTCCACATTACAGCTGCGCCCCATTTACTTTCTGCCTATTCACTTTTTTTTTAAGAAAGGAAGCTGGCAGTTCACAAAAGCAAACCCACCTTAATAGCCTCCATATCTTGTCAGTCCTCAGAGTCGTGATGTCTGAATGCCTTGCAGAGGCTTTGTGCTATCTCCCATGGAGTGTATAAAAGACAGTTTGGTTAGGAAAGAGGGTAAATGTAAAAATGGTGATTCTGATTGACTGTGAATTCAGCGTTACAGCTGCGAGTGAATGCCTGGCTTTAAAATGGATTGTTACATTTTTACACTTTTTGCCACGCTCCTTAAGCGGTACATCCACAGCTTGCAGTAAGGTGGTGCATTTTGTCCTCACTTCACCTTTCAACACAGTGCCAGCAGTCCCTAAATATAAAGAAAGCCTTGGAAACAAGAAGCAATAATCACATACCAAGAGACCCACTCTCCCACCTGCTGGGTTTGTGGTTAGATAAATGTGAAAATGGAATAAAAGGAGGGATAAAGAGTGGAGGTGAAATGACTTTACCATCCTCTTTCCCTTGTCACTTTGGCCAGTATGTCACTCTTTCCTTTTCGACGGTCACAGCCCCCCTCGCCCTAAGTCTACCACTGAAGAGATAATGCAGTGATGGAAATTAAATGTACTCAAGTACAGTTCTTAAGATCCATTTTTAAGTTCTGGTACAGTTCATGGTACTTTATTGAGTCTTCCACTCAACCCCAGTTCTAAGGACCTTTTTTTTTTTACTACATTTATTTGATGGATTTGGCAATAATCAGCAAATAACTCCCGGCAGTAGATGAAAATGAATTCTACCAGCTGCAACACTGG